CGGCCTTTCCAAGTCAAGGGGAGGCCACGCCCAAAGCCACGGAACCCGGAAACCCTGAAGCTTGGGCATTGTGGCTTGGGGTTTCGGTTTAGGGTTTAGGGTTTAGGGTTTAGGGTTTAGGGTTTCGGTTTAGGATTTAGGGTTGAGGGTTTAGGGGTTAGGCACAAAACTTACCCCCACATCCAAAACCCTAAAGCTTAAGCCCTGTCCCAAGCCCTAAACCCTAAAACTAAAGCCATACCTGGCAGAGATACCTTGGGCCTCTGAACGAAAATATAGGGGTCTGAATAATCACAATGTCTTGGAATATGTTAGACTATACTTAAAACTTATAGTAGGAACCCCAAGGAGTTGTATTGGTTTTGGGTTTTGGGTTTGGGGTTTAGGGCTTTGAGGGTCTTCTAGGTTAGTTTGTGCCTCTAAACGACCCAAGCACGCATCCGTCTTCACGAAGAGCCGGAAGCTGCGCCGGTGCTCAAGGGACCAAGCCTGGGCTCTTGTTGAGTAGCTGTTCTCCCCAATTCGCTCCATCGCATCCTAGGGAGAGGCCATAATATGATTCAGGGTTTAGGGCTGAGGGTTAAGAGTCTATCATGTAAGTTGCGATAATGAGGATTTCTTTAAAGGACCATCGAATTAGCATAGAGCTGGGAGATTATTACTAGTTGATCCGAACCCGATATTATATAAACACAAAGCCCGAAACCCTAAAACCTCTACCGGAAACACCTAAGTTCCTATAGCCGGCAACCTATGCATGCTAGTACCCTTCATGAACACTTAAAACCCACTGACAATAGGCGCCCCGGTCCCCAATAATACTAAGGGCACCATTTGCCCTACGAGTTTGACACGAAACCCTCCAAAATCAAGAGAACTCAAGGGCGCATCTGGGTTTCCTAGATTCCCTGACCGTAAACCCTAAACTCGCTACATAAGCTAAATCCCTTAACCCTAACCCTTAAAAGGACCTTTAGTTAATGTTCCGTTAATGGGTTCCTTTCAGGGTGTAGGGTTTAGGCCCTCAGGAACTGAACGCAACGTTTGGTTCTTGGCCAAGGCCCACGGCGTTTCCTGAGCCACGATGCTCTCTGATCGTTATGTCATGTTAGCCAACGATCAGCAGAACGACCTGCCAGCGCCAGAGGTATCGAGGTTTTTCCTGCCCTTTAATTGGGTTTGTCGTCGGGTTTAATTCGGGTTGTTTTTACGTTCCTGGGGAGGCTAATTTCGGGTTTTTTTAAGTTGGTTTTTTAAGCAGGATTGCAAATCGCCTTTTCCAGATGCCTTTTTTTTCACCTTTTTAGGGTTTCCAAAAGACACCAGGACTAGCTTGTGCGAACGACTTAAGTTTAGGGGTTCCTTGAAGACTCCTTAACCCTAAACCCTGAACCCTAAACCCGAAACAAGAACCAAGAAGCTTGGCCCAGGGATGCCGTGGACAGTGCCGCCTGGACCACGGCGCGGTTCTCCTGGGGTTTGGGGTGTCTTTGGCCGAACTTAGCAGCCTTAGAAACTAGAAGAGTTACTATAAAGGCCACAATAAGGGTTACTATACTGTTTGCGACTTAAGGCTTAGTTTTTGGACGTCAGGGTTTAGGCTTTAAAGTCTCTAGGTTCAGCGGTGTAGGGTTGAGGGTTTAGGGTTGAAGTTCAAAGGTGCTCGGACTTTCTCCAGAAGACCACATGGAGGAAACCCTAAACCCTAAACCCTAAATCGTGCTTCCAGGCTCTGGGTTCTGCATCCTAGACCCCGCACTGCGAAGCTAAAGCTTGAAACCCTTGAACCCCAGGGCTTGAGGTCTGTATGGTTGGACATTCTATCCCCCTCAAGTTCTATATTTGCAAAAGTGTTATCTTATATTTATCTATCTGTGTATATATATATATATGTATATGCAAATATATGTATATATATATATA